ACTTCAGCCTGTAGCAATCACAGCTACAAATTATTGGCTCTTCCCACCATGTGGTTGGCATATGCTGGGTACTTGGATTCACATCTCTCCTCTTCATATCAGCAGGGTAGATAATTTCTCCATTTTCACAGAAGAAAACTGAGACTCAGAAGGTTATTTGATTTGCCCAAGGTCACAGAGCCGCTTTGGGTAGAGCCAGGACAAGATCCCGTCAGTTTTACTCTGAAATCCATGCCCCTTCCATTCTGACTGACTGCTTTGAGGCCACCTGATGTGCCATTGTTATCTACTCTCTTCTCAGTAGTCCTGTCTTCAAAATTTTGTATTTATTCTCTTCTTTGCACTACCAAGATAATCTCTGCTAACATAGAGTTACAACAAGCTCCTGGCATATTTGGCTGAAAATGATAGCATCAGCTGATTTTCCTGGAGAAAGTCTATGTTTGAAAATCACAGTGAAATGAAACAATCTTTTTAAAAAGCCGTCTATACAGCAGCATTCAGTTGACATATTATGGTTCCCTTTTATGTGGAAGAAGTCCAGAAATGTCAGTAAGTCTCTAGGTGAGTAGGTACAAAAATAAAGGGTGACACTGCAATAATAGACATGGCCCACATGAGTGTTCACGCCTCCAGGCAGCTTTCCAGGAAGCAGCTTCACTGGGAACTGGCAGGCCTCAGGAGTCATGTGGCTGCCAAGTTCTTGCCCAGGGAGAGTCCCTTCTTCCTGGCTTGCCCCTGAGACTGCAGGGACATGGAAGCAGGCCAGAAGCAGTGAAAATTGTACAGTATGCGTGCTCAATTTTTAAAAATGGAAGTAAAGTGGATATCTAATTTAATATTATAAATTAGGTATTATAAACTTTTTGATTGAAATTTGTATGTGTTTGTTTATTTTTGAGGCAAGGTCTCACTCTGTTACCCAGGCTAGAATGCAATGGCATGATCACAGATCACTGCAGCCTTGACCTCCCTGGGCTCAGGTGATCCTCACACTTCAGCCTCCTGAGTAGCTGGGACCACAGGCATGAGCCACCATGCCTGCCTAAGTTTTGTATTTTTTGTAGAGGCAGGGTTTTGCCATGTTGCCCAGGCTTGTCTCTAACTCCTGCGTTCAAGTGATTCACCCGCCTTGGCCTCCCAAACTGTTGAGATTACAGGTGTTAGCCACCATGCCTGACCCTTATAAATTTTTAGAAAAGGTTAAGTGTACTGAGGTTTTAATGGCATTAAATTTGTAGTCTTGAACCTTTAAATACCACTCCTTCCCCCTTAGTTTTCCTGATTATAAAGATATGTGGTATGATTTATAGCAAGGACAAAATTGGTACTGTGAAAACCAGTCATGCTTCCTTTGGGAAAGAGAGGAAAGCAAAATGCCTAAGCCTTCTGGATATAAAATTTCAAGCTTCAGGGCAGGGTCTTAAACGGGTGGGGTTTAAGCAATTCAGTGACTGAATTGCTCTGCCTGGAAAAGAGGAAGAGAATTCTTGCTCTGGAGATGAAGGGCTCAAGGAGGAGAGACTGGGGGAAGAGAGAGATGAGATGAGCCTGCAGAGAAGAAAAAGGCAAGGAATCTTCTTCCATTCTGATTTGCTTGATTTGATATAGTCATAGGGACCCTTCATCCTACTAAGACTTAGCCAAGTGTATCATACACACACACTATGCTTCCATGTCACTGTTTTGTGGAAATCATGAGAACAGTGCTGAATTCCATGCCTGCGTCCCCAGCAAGAGTGGAAGCTAGGATTTTCCAGGCATGGGAAAGCAAGGCAGAGATGGCAGGGAGGAAACGGCAACCTGGGCCATGCCTGGGAACCATGGTCTTCTGAACCCTGTGTGGGACTTCTCCCAAAATGCAGAAGGGGGTTTTTAGATACTATTTCCTAGATTTTAAGGGGGCAAGGTGACATCTGGGATGCACTGGTGGAGTTTCCCAGGCCTATCTTTTGTATTCATCATTGGTACCTCTTTTCCTTTTAGGGAAACTGTAGAGGAAAGAGGAGTTTTGGAGCTAGACTAACTTGAATTTGCAATGGATCTCTGTTTCAGTTGCTTAACCCATTTGAGCCACATTTTTTTTTTCAGCAATAACAAAAATATCACAGGACACAGGATTGTGAAGTGGCTTAAATTAAATGGCATCTTATACACTGGTTAGAAGTTCATGTCTTGACATCAGAGTGCTTGATTCAAATCCTGGCTCTACCATCTGCTAGCCATGTGACTTTGTATAAGTTATTCAATTTCCTCTCATCAAAATTGGGGCAGCTAGGCCTGAGGGCTCATGCCTGTAATCCTAACACTTTGGGAGGCTAAGGTGGGCTAATCACTTGAGGTCAGGAGTTTGAGACCAGCCTAGCCAACATGGTAGAGAAATCCTTTCTCTACTAAAAATACAAAAATTAGCCGGGTATGGTGGTGCATGCCTCTAATCCCAGCCACTTGGGAAGCTGAGGCAGGAGAATCACTTGAACCCACGAGGTGGAGGTTGCAGTGAGCAGAGAGTGCACCCACTGCACTTCAATCTGGGTGACAGAGTAAGATTGTGAAAATACAAAAAAGAAAGGAAAGAAAGAAAGAAGGAAAGAAAGATAGAAAAAGAAAGAAAGAGAGAAAGAAAGAAAGAAAAAGGAAGGAAGAAAGAAAGAAAAGAAAATGGGAGAAATAATTCCATCTAACTTCTGTATTATTGACAGAGTCAAATGAGATAATACAGTAAAGCACTTTAGTGTAATTGCCAGACAAGTTCTTGCCCACTGCACAAATAAACCCAATTCACCAAGACATGTTATTGCAGTAGATAAATAATTTAATTTTTGCAAGGGAGCTGAACAGGAAGATGGGATTTATTATTCAAATCCACCTCCATGAAGGCTCAGAGGTTAGAGTTTTTCAGGAATAGTTCAGTGGGCACGGGGACAGTAGGGAATGGGTGCTGTTGTTTGGCTGGGGATGCAATCACAGGGGTGTGGAAAAACACGGAGTCCACCTCTGGGTGGGGTCCAGAGTCGCGGGTTTGGGTGGAGCCAGTCAGTAGCCAGAAGGCAAGAGTCTGAAAAAGCATCTCAAGTGGCATCCCAAAGTGCTGGGATTACAGGCATGAGCCACCACCCTGGCCTATTGTTATTTTTATGTATGTAAAATGTCTGGTTTGGTAAGATATTGGTTAGTGACTTTTGCACTTTCATTTTATTGAAATACAAGAGCTGTGAATTCCCATGCTACTGCCACCTCTTTTTCCCAGAGGAATTAACTAAAAAAGAATCAATTGATCATTTATATCAGTTATGATGGTTCATAGAAGCTTAAAAAAACCTCTACACTTTTTAAAAATAAAGACTTCTGACCAAAGAACTCGAAAATGTTGATACATACATATATTTTATTTGGAAAAAAAAAGGTGCTGTCAGTTCTAAGAAATATACTTTGTGTTTTTCTTTGCATTTCAACAATCTCCTTGTCATTTGTCCTCTAATGCAGAATCTCTGACCTGCCAGTGTGCACCCTCTCCCTGTGGATAGCACACTCTGCCTTTTCATGCTGCTCAGTTTTCCTCACACTTAGGTCTGTTTTCCTATTATTGCTTCAGATTGATAGCCACTTTCCGTGATATTTGAGGCATACACCCAAATGCCAGGATTTTGAATCCCATACTAAACAAAGAGGTTTTTTTTTTTTTTTTTTAGAGTCAGGGTCTCACTCTTTCACCCATGCTCCCATGCTGGAGTGTAGTGGTGCAATCTCGGCTCACTGCAGCCTTGACCTCCCAGGAGGTTCAAGCAATCCTTCCACCTCAGCCTCTCAAGTAGCTGGGACTACAGGCACATGCCACCACACCCAGCTAATTTTTGTAGAGACAGGATTTTGCCCTGTTGCCCAGGCTGGCCTCAATCTCCTGACTCAAGCCGTCCTCCCACCTTGACCTCCCAAACTGCTAGGATAAATAGTTTCTGTTTTGTTTTGTTGCAGTGGCACAATCTTGGTTCACTGCAACCTCCGTCTTCCATTCAAGTGATTCTCCTGCCTCAGCCTCCTGAGTAGCTTGGGTTACAGGGTTGTGCCACCACACCTGTCTAAATTTCTGCATTTTTAGTAGACAGGTTTGCCGTCTTTACTAAAAGACAAGTAACATTGGCCAGGCTGGTCTTGAACTCCTGGTGATCCACCCACCTCTGCCTCCCAAGTGCTGGGATTACAGGTGTGAGCCACTGTGCCTGGCAAAGAGTTTTCTGAAAGCAAATTCTGGAAAAGAAAGAAATTTTCCTGCCTGTTGTTTGTCATGGTGGAGCAGAACTATTGAGCTCTGATTGTGAAGAGCTCTGCTGAGACATAGAGTAGCTTGGTGTGAGAGTCCAGGCTTTAAGGTAAGAGGGCTTGGGTTCAAGTCCTACTCTGAGCTTACTTGTCTGAGCTTGGTCAAATCACTTAGTTTTTCCTCTTTTTTGGTTTCCTCAGGTAAAATAGGGTAGCAGGCTCTGGAGGGGGGAAGGATAAATAAATTAATAATCCTGATGAATGCTAAATGCTCCATATGTTAGTTCTTATTGTTAATTTGCTAGGCTGTTTTAGTAAATTATTTCTGACCCAAACCAGTTTCCCACCTTCGGTTTCAGGAAGATAATAAACCTAGTAGTGCTGAATTACCAGGAAGCATGGAGAGCTAGTGGTTCCTTACCCCTGAATGTGCACCACCCTGCACTTTGCTGTAATCTTGAATTAAAATGGTTCTGAACCTCCTGATATTAACTCATTATTTGACAGCTTCAGCTTTCTTGAGAGGTTTCCCGAGACATCTGAAACTCTTTCTGCCTGGAGCTGGAGTCAGGAAGCTTGGATTCTAGCCCGTTCCTCACTTCCTATGAGGGATTGGCAGCAAGGCAATTCACTTTCCTGAACTTGTTTTTAATAGATCAGGTAAGATTCAGATGAAATTTTACGAGAAATGATTTTTTAAATTAATTAATTAATTTACTTATTTTATTCATTTTATTCAGTCACCATAGAGACTGCCAAAAATTGCCAACGCCAACTATATTTCAAGTCGTCATGGTGGGGTATTGGGAAAAGTTTTCAATTAGCAATAACTGTGCCTCGGTTAAACTTCATTGGCTACGGTACTCCCACTGCACAAAGCTGTGAAATGATTTTTAAGTTGGGAAATGTCCAAAAGGCAAGTTATTGTGTGATATGTTGATAATAATGGTAACAGTAGTAAATGCACTTATTCTATTAGTAGGTGTGACCTCAAGGCTTACCTAGAGCATGTTTTTAGTTATTTTTGTCATCAATAATGCTGAAGATCTTAGGCATCTGATTCTTTTCCTTTTACAGTGGAGGTAGCATTTGGGCAAGACACTGTATAGAAGAAAGGTTATAAAATGTATGTTAGTCAAATGTTGCTAATTATTTGCCGTGGTATATAATTTGAAGGAAGATAGAGTTTTGGGGAGATTATTATATGGAGTTACACTAACCATGTGATTTTTTGATAACTTTGGAGACAGTAGAGGGGGCATATAGGCATTATATTTATAGGTTCTTTGTAAATTTTTAAATTTTTATTTTTATTTGAGACAGGGTCTCACTTTGTCACCCAGGTTGGAGTGTAGCGGCATGATCATAGCTCACTGCAGCCTCGACCTCTGGGCTCAAGCAATCCTCCCACCTCAGTCTCTGAGTAGCTGGGACTACAGGAGCATGCCACTATACCTGGATAATTTTTACAATTTTTTTGTAGATATTGGGGTCTCACTTTGTTGCCCAGGCAGGTTTCAAACTCCTGGGCTCAAGTGATCCTCCTGCCTTGGTCTCCTGAAGTGCTGGGGTTACAGGCATGAGCCACTGCATCTGGCTCTATAAATTCTTTCATGCTCAGAAATAAATGAAAATACACTCTCCTTTATTTCCAAATGTACCTCTTTTTTTTTAAATCCATGAACTACTTTCTTATTTCGTACCTCGGTAAACACACTTAGTGATTAGGAGAGGTTGAAAGGAGAAAGCGAAAGCTGTTTTCCATATTCTTAACTACATTCTGTCATGGAATAAAAATGACCGATTGTCCCATGTGTTCCAGCAGAACTATTAGGAGCTCCATTTTCTGGGAACCCCACCTTTTGAATTCCTCTGATTTTGAGGGTCACCATGGCCCAAAGCCACCACAGGTATCAGGGGACAGCCTAGGACTCCAGTACACTTCCAAACAGGAGTTTGGAAAAGGAGTGAAAACTTTTCCCAATACCCCCACCATGATGACTTGAAATATAGTCAGTGTTGGCAATCTTTGGCAGTCTCTATGGGGACTGAATAAAATTAATTAATTAGAAAAATCATTTCATGTAAAATTTTGTCTGAATTTTACCTCATCTATAAAAACAAGCTCAGGAAAATGAATTGCTTTGCTGCCAATCCCTCATAGGAAGTGAGGAACAGGGACTAGAATCCAAGCTTCCTGGCTCCAGTTGCAGGCAGAGTTTGTTTGTTTGTTTGTTTATGAAATGGAGTTTCACTCTTGTTGCCCAGGCTGGAGTGCAATGGCGCAATCTCAGCTCACTGCAACCTCCACCTCCCGTGTTCAAGTGATTCTTCTGCCTCAGCCTCCTGAGTATCTGGGATTAGAGGCATGCACCACCATGCCCAGCTAATTTTCTTTTTTTTTTTTTTTTGTATTTTTAGTAGAGACGGGGTTTCTCCATATTGGTCAGGCTGGTCTTGAACTCACGACCTCAGGTGATCCCACTGCCTTGGCCTCCCAAAGTACTAGGATTGCAGCCGTAAGCCACCTCACCCAGTCAAAAAATTTTTATATATTAAAGATCTACCAATGAAAAATGGCAAAATTTACCATTTAATCTACATTAAAAATCTACCATTGAAAATGAATTTGTGCAGAAACAAATTCATTTTCAATTGTAACTGAACCTCTGTTAACTCCTAGTCGGAATGTAGTCACTTACTAAGAAAACCTTGATTCAGGGCTTAAAAACCATGTAGATAATATAAAAGCACTTTTTCTTCAGTTTCAGAACCATTAGTTCAATAACTATTTAATATTTCTTTTCAGTTTTCCCCACATCATTTTGTGTCACTAATATAGATTTTATTTTATGAAACTGAAACATTTCAACGAGTTGATTTTATATTGCTACATGGTTTGCACATACCTTGAAGTCAGGAACCTTGTTTTCTTTTTCTTTTCTTTTTTTCTTTTTTTTTAAGATGGAGTTTTGCTCTTGTTGTCCAGGCTGGAATGCAGTGGTGCAATCTCAGCTCACTGCAACCTCCACCTCCTGGGATCAAGCAATTCTGTGTTTCAGCCTCCCGAGTAGCTGAGATTACAGGTGCCTGTCACTACACCCGGATAATTTTTTATTTTTAGTAGAAAGGGGGTTTTCACCATGTTGGTCAGGCTGGTCTTGAACTCCTGACCTTGTGATCCTCCCACCTTGGCCTCCCAGTGTTGGGATTACAGGCATGAGCCACCATACCCAGACTTTTTTATTTTTTATTTTTTTTTGAGACAGAGTCTCTCTCTGTTATTCAGGCACTATCTTGAGCACTATCTTGGCTAATTGCAACCTCAGCCTCCTAGGTTCAAGCGATTCTCCTGCCTCAGCCTCTTGAACAGCTGGGATTACAAGCGCACATCGCCACGACTGGCTAATTCTTTTGTATTTTAGTAGAGATGAGGTTTCACCGTGTTGCCCAGGCTGGTCTTGAATTCCTGGGCTCAGGTGATCTGCCTGCCCTGGCCTCCCAAAGTGCTGGGATTACAGGTGTGAGCCACCATGCCTGGTGGGGATGTTTTCTTAGTCTCATTCTGGTGCTTTGTATATGTTGTGTGCTAAAGTATTTCTGACTTAAACTGTGAGGGTGGGAGAGATAGATTGAGAAAGATAGGAGAAAAGTATTAAATAAATTTCACCTTTGGAATATGATGAAATAATCATATATTAATTGAATTTTTAGAACTTGCTCTCAATTTGATAAAGGTGACTTTATAAAATGTAATATTACTATTTTTAAAAGAACCTAAAAACTCATTTAATTTTAAAATTTAATTAAACTTTTAAATTTAAATTTTAAAAGTTAAGCATTTATTAAAACTCAGGCAGGTTCCTTACGCCAGTTATGATTAGATGGGTCTTCCTGCGGCAAATATACTTGTTAAGAGCTTATTATTTTAATTGAAATATAAATGTTTACATAGTTACCACCTAGATTTCTTGATTTTTGTTTGGTTTTGCTTTCTTTCCTTTTGTTTTTGAGATGGAGCCTTTCTCTGTAACCCAGGCCAGCATGATCTCAGCTCACTGCAACCTCTTCCCCCAGTTCAAGCAATTCTCCTGCCTTAGCCTTCTGAGTAACTGGGACTACAGGAACATGCCATTATGCCTGGCTAATTTTTGTATTTTTAGTAGAGACAGGGTTTCACCACATTGACCAGGCTGGCCTTGAATTCCTGACCTCGGCTGGACATGGTGGCTCACACCTGTAATCGCAGCAGTTTGGGAGGCCGAGGTGGGTGGATCACTTGAGGTCAGGAGTTCAAGACCAGCCTGGCCAACTTGGTGAAACCTGTCTTAAAAAAAAAAAAAATAATTCCTGACCTCAGGTGATTTGCCTGCATCTGCCACCCTAAGTGCTGGGATTACAGGCATGAGCCACCACACCCAGCCTCTGGATTTTACTAATACACACCTTTCCTTGGATTTACAAGAAAAACCTGCTAGTTGTATATGTGAAGTCTTTTTTTTTTTTAATTTTTTATTGGATTTTAGGTTTTGGGGTACATGAGCAGAGCATGTAAGACGGTTGCGTAGGAACACACATGGCAGTGTGCTTTTCTTTCCTTCTCCCCTTCACCCACATTTGGCATTTCTCCCCAGGCTATCCCTCCCCACCTCCCCCTCCCACTGGCCCTCCCCTTTTCCCCCCAATAGACCCCAGTGTTTAGTACTCCCCTTTCTGTGTCCATGTGTTCTCATTTTTCATCACCCACCTATGAGTGAGAATATGCGGTGTTTCATTTTCTGTTCTTGTGTCAGTTTGCTGAGGATGACGTTCTCCAGATTCATCCATGTCCCTACAAATGACACAAACTCATCATTTCTGATTGCTGCATAATATTCCATGGTGTATATGTGCCACATTTTACCAATCCAGTCTATTATCAATGGGCATTTGGGTTGATTCCAGGTCTTTGCTATTGTAAACAGTGCTGCAATGAACATTCGTGTACATGTGTCCTTGTAGTAGAACGATTTATAGTCTTTTGGATATATACCCAGTAATGGGATTGCTGGGTCAAATGGAATTTCTATTTCTAAGGCCTTGAGGAATCGCCACACCGTCTTCCACAATGGTTGAACTAATTTACACTCCCACCAACAGTGTAAAAGTGTTCCTTTTTCTCCACATCCTCTCCAGCATCTGTTGTCTCCAGATTTTTTAATGATGGCCATTCTAACTGGCGTGAGATGGTATCTCAATGTGGTTTTGATTTGCATCTCTCTGATGACCAGTGATGATGAGCATTTTTTCATATGATAGTTGGCCTCATATATGTCTTCTTTCGTAAAGTGTCTGTTCATATCCTTTGCCCACTTTTGAATGGGCTTGTTTGTTTTTTTCCTGTAAATCCGTTTGAGTTCTTTGTAAATTCTGGATATCAGCCCTTTGTCAGATGGGTAAACTGCAAAAATTTTTTCCCATTCTGTTGGTTGCCCATCCACTCTAGTGACTGTTTCTTTTGCCGTGCAGAAGCTGTGGAGTTTCATTAGGTCCCATTTGTCTATTTTGGCTTTTGTTGCCAATGCTTTTGGTGTTTTGGTCATAAAGTCCTTGCCTACTCCTATGTCCTGGATAGTTTTGCCTAGATTTCCTTCTAGGGTTTTTATGGTGCCAGGTCTTATGTTTAAGTCTTTAATCCATCTGGAGTTAATTTGTTTGCTTATTTACTTGCTTTTTGATACATTTTCTTAAAAACGGAAAATTATTTGAAAGATAAGATGTATGTGTAGAGAAGATATATTTCTTTTTTTTTTCTTTTTTTCTTGCATGTAACATAAGGGCAGTGGAGGGAGAAAATATATTACGAATAAGTGCATTAGATTTGGGGTCACTGACATAAGGG